ACTGTGCATGCACAGTTCACTGTAAATTGTTCTGCACATGCGCGAAGAACAATTTATATTGAACAGCGCAGGGGCGCGTAGCGTGCGGGTTGCAAACCGGTAATAAAACCGGCAGCAACCCACCCCTGGACATGACCATTTTTCACATTTATGACCCTGGCATTGCAGTGTCCCCATGGTCATGTGATTTGCATTCGGAAACTTCACAACTGACTCACATTTTATGAATGGTTGCAGGTGTGATCACTTTTTGCGATCTTCTGACAAGCAAAACCAATGGGGAAACCAGATTCACTTAACCTTCGTATTACTGATTTACAAACTGTAGCGATTCACTTAACAAATGTGGCGAGAAAAGTCATAAAATGGGGTAAAAGTCACTTAGCCAATTTCTCACTTAGCAACATAAAAGTTGGGCCCAATTGTGATTGTAAGTTGACCAGCTGTATATGGTTACCCATTTTTATCAAATATCTCCAGGCAGCCATCAGAGCCAGTACATAAAATAATGTAAAAGCCACAAAGCAACCCATAATTAAAAATCAATACACGTCCTCATCAACCATCTCATAGCACAAGACAAACACACAAGGGACTCTGCTAACATCAGAGGCCAGGTGCCCCAGGAGACCAAACTCTTCAGAAGGAGAGAGTTTCAAAGGGCAGGCCCCACACCGGAGGCGGCATATCTCCTAGGTGACCGCTAGATGGCCTTGTTTCACAGAAGGTTTTTGGCACAGGTCTGGTGTGACAACAGAAATAGGTAGTGCCTCCTATCACAGTCACTGGAGTTGCTGTTTTCTGATGGAATAAGATCACGCTTAGCGAATGGGTCCTCCAAACCAGTCTGATAACTTGAGATGCTATTTTGTTGTGTGAAAGTAACCTAATTTATGTTGTTCTAATTGACAACACAACGCATTTTAATCTACTGGTTCTCTGAAAATCCCATTTTCATTGCTGACTTTAGATAAGCTTCAAGATTGCCAGATTTTTGCCAAACTTCTCACAGGCTTGGGAGCACAACTCTGCATCCAATATGAGCTTCCTCAGCTTTTGCTGGTTAGAATTTAATTACATCTTAATTAATTGCTCCTTAATTAGCAGAGGCTGAGATCTGTTGGAGCCCTGTTTAAATCTTGTTCTGCAAATTAACTAATTAAGGGTGCAACTGTCTTTGGCTATCTCAAGAAAACCTATTCTGTATAATGGAAGATCTTTTATATGATTACATTTATTATATATGCTGTTCCCATACAAGTTCCATTTTGTTAGCTAAGTGGAATACTATTCTGATTCATTTTTTAAATAGTCCAGAATAAAGTCCGAAATAAAATATGACAAAACAAAACCTGACTGTCTCATATATTAATTTCCAGAAATGCTTTTGGATCTCCAAGCAATG